CCCCAAAACCCCAAAACCCCAAAACCCCATATTTCTAAAATTCATTTTTAAGGCTGAAAATTATTATTTGGATAAATATTTAAGCATTTAGGTGACTTCAACTTAATTGTCTAATTAAGTATCTCCTCATGCCTTATTGAAATTGATGACCTAGATTCTTGCCAAGCACATTGAAGACTTGAAGCTGATTTCAAGTCTATCTGTTGTTGGGTTATAAATTGCTTGGCCAACATCTTGTGGAACTGTTGAATCAGCGAATGTGATGGTAACCTTGTAAGGAATATTATTTTGGAAGTCTTTAGCATTGTAGAAGTAAATTGATCCTAGATAATCATTTTGATTCACTCCTGAGCATCCTTTTTCCATCTTATCAGTGTAGTTGGTGGCAGCAATAGTTGTTAGCACTCTAAGTGATATGCTTTAAGTATCAGTAGCTCTAGCAATGAAATTATATCCATTAAAGTTTCCTGCTACATTCAATTATTCTCCATCATCATTTATATATACACCTTGAGAATTCCAATTGACATGCTTTGAGCCTGGCTCTCCAAGCACGTGAAGTTCTATTGGTAAATCTTGAAGGTTCTTTGAATTTTTGAAGCTTTGTACTGAAACATTCTGGTATGGTACTATGTAGCCTTGTCTCAAAGCCAAATAAGTCTCATTAACTTTTGTTGATAAGTTATAGAATTACCCAGTGCTTGCAGTACAAAGAGTGTTTACTGTCATGTTGCACCAGATACCAGCAGGTAAATAGAATTAAGTGATGTTTTAATCAACGTATTCTGAGTTTATTGAAAGTTTAAGCGCTTTTCCAAGCATAACATTTTGAGTCACATTGACATAGGTGTTCATATCATCTGGGAACTCGAAGAACACTGGTTTGAAGAAAGTGCTTTGACTTTGATAGCTGACCATAAAGAGATTTGTGTAGTAATATCTAATCAATGAGTACTTCTACTTTATGGCATCTGTGAAGTGATCAATGTATTTCTTGCCCTCATATGTTTAATCTCCCCATGCCCATGGTTCTTGAGAAATTTAGCCCCAGTTATTGTGATTTCTTGAAAAAGGATAATATGATCCAAGGAAGTGCCATCTAGCGCATAAATTAGCATTAGTATCACCGATGAAACCGCAAATATCTGACCCTGCAAATGTAATGCCGAAGATATTCATTAGCATGACTCCAGATACTGAGTACCCCATAAATCTTTCATCAGAGAAATTATCTCCAAGCCATCTTGAGGCAAATTTACCCATACCTGCAAATGAACTTCTCTCAATAATAAAGGTTCTCTTTCCTTTACTTTGGAACCAATCGTGAGAAGCTTTTACATTCTCTGTTCCATAATAGCTATGAGTATCAAGTTGAGTAAGGCCATTTTTGTGTTAAGTATCAAGTGGCATCGACTTTGTTTCAAGATCTCTTCCAGTTGGAGTGTATTTCAAGCTGAATTTTATTGGTTTACTTGCAGTTTGATATTTATAGCATGCACCATTGCAGAAATTTGAAGCTTCGTTCATATCTTACCAAAGTCCATCAAATGGGATCTGGTCATAGAGCTTACCAAGATTTGTCTGGAACCAGTCAATTGTATCTGGATTAGTATAATCTGGATAAGAAGCATCATTAGGCCATACTTAGCCTATGAATGGCTTACCATCTACAGTTGTAAAGAGTCCTTTTTCCATAGCCTCTGTAAATGCTGGATAACTGCCGTTCTCAGGTCTATATGCAACACCAGCGTCAAGAATCGGAACGTATCTTCTTCCACTATCATGAAGGGTTTTAATGAAGTCTGGAAGTCCAGCAAACCTAACTTTATCGTACTCAAAAGTTCTGTATTTATCCATATGATCAATGTCTGACCAGGCTACGTCCAATGGAATGCTAAACTAATCATATTTGTTCACTACATCTTCTAACATTGAGAGATTTCTGTATCCCCATCTGCATTAATTCCATCCAAGTGCCCATTGTGGAACCATCACTGGTCTTCCAATCAATCTAAAGTATTTATTGACTACATCATCAGCGAATCTTGCTTGGAATACATAGATATCAGCAACACCACCAGTTGCTATTGTGCTTATATTTACAGTTCCGTCAGTCTTATTATTTTTTACCCACCAGTCTTATGCATGAGCAAGCTTGTAAAGAACACCTACCCAAGCATCTTTTTTGTGCTTATACATATAGAAAGGATGAGTTCCATACATATTAGCTGCAGGAAGAGTACCAGTTTCATCTGGAGTTGGTTAATCTCTTGACCACATTGAGTAGACTCCATCCTTTAAGAAAAAGTCCTTGTTTGCTCTTTCACCAAGACCAATTATTCCTGTGAATTGGTTTCCTGATTCAAGTTGAGCTTAAACATTAATCCAATTCAAGTATTCATCATAGATCATGCTTTCAATCTTCAGCACATTTGATGGGTTGTTAAAAGATCTGTATTTGAAGGTAATTTAGAATGGCTAATCTTGAACAGTAATGAACTCAGATAGATTTGTAGATGATGATGGAAGACTACTATTAATGAATTCATTTGGAACTTCTGCAGGTTGTTTTTAGCCACCGACTGGCTTGCCATCCTTGTCAGTTTTCCAAGACCATTTTACATTTACAATATCAATGTCGATGACTCTCATTGTAACGATAATGTTAGATAATACGCTTGACATTGGTTTAAGTTCGACCTATGTATAGTTTGCTACAAGATCTGGTAGTTTACCATCAACAATTTGGTATTAAAATGTAGTAGTTTTGCATAGATTGATGTCATTATTAGCTTCACTTCCATAGTAAACGTTTAAAATCTAGTTAAACATAACGTCAGTGGCTGATGAAATATTAACTGTATTCGTGATGCTCTCCTTTTTGACAATTAAATCATTCATCTATCCAGTAGTGTTCATGTAGCAAGCAAAACTGACTTATTGAAGGTCAGCAGCATTGGTTAAAACTATCTAGTCAAGCTTGGCGTTTTGATTTCCTTACTTTCCGTCATAGAATTAGAACTATATTGACTGTGATTAGTGATTAATCTTGTAATATTCGTATCCCTTTGTCTTTTCAGCTAATTCAATTCTGGAAATTCCTTGGTCTAAGAATAGTGATCCTTAAGCTACTCCGTTTTCATCTCTGTTAATTATGATTTAAATAGGTTAGTTAATGAGATCCTTAGTGAGTGTGATTTCTTATTATACATTCTTTGTTGTGTCTTAATAGGCTATCAGAGATCCAGGCCTCAAATGAGCTTATACAGTTTTCTAAGAATTGCTGAGAGTCATGTTTTCTCCTTTTGATTGAACGATATCTCCAAAATAAGAAAGACTGACCCAGTTGCCTTTTGGGAAGTAAGATGAAAAATTAGGAATTTTAGGGTCTTAAACCTCTAGAATAGGGCTGACTTTAATAGCTCCACCTACCATAAAAGTACTTGTTGGATCAGCATATAGATTAGCGTCTTCTGGATAGTAGAAGAACAACGGCTCAATGCATGATCCTCCATTGGCTGAAACTTCGAATAAACAGGTGTACATATGTCTAAGGTATCTGTATCTATCTTTGATTGAAGCCTAAGCCATATTGAAGTAATCACCCTTTAGTTAGTATGGTTCAGATCTTTCGCTATCGTTTCCTTTCCAAGTAAGATTTTGATGAGCTCTTGCCATTGGGTAGAAAGTAGCTAACTAAATCCATCTTGCGCACATTTCGTCATCTCTCTTTTCTCCAAAGAAGCCGCAGACGTCAGCACCTGCATGTGGGATACCAAACATATTCATATTCATGATACCAGCAATAGAGAGTTTCATATACCTCCAATCTCTCCAGTTATCACCTAGCCAGTGAGAGGCGTATTGGCCAGAACCAGTGAAGGTGCTTCTAGTATTGATGAATGTTCTGTAGTCTGGAGTTGGTGAGTCAGGGCCTGTCATATACTATTGAGTAGTCTTAGCCATCATGAGACCATAAAGACTGTGTACATTATACTCTTATTCATTAATGCTTGAGAGTGTTGAGTTAAGTGAGATAGTCATATAATCGAAGTTTCCATCATAGGGGCCAGGCTTCCCATCGTCGTGTTGAACATACCCTGGCACAAATGGAATGTCAAAAGTGCTATCCTTTCTTTGATCTGGGAAGGAGTAGTACCAAGAATTGTCTGAATCTCCATTTGAGGAGTCTTTCAAGACTAAATAATAAAAAAATGAATAAAGTTAATAATTACAAATTTTCTTTGAGGGAGTAGGTGATTCGATGTCATCAGGCTTAATCTCACCATGAGTAAAGGTTGTTGGTTCATTCATGTCAATCCAGATGCCATCATAAGGAACTAGCTTGTAGAGGTCATTTAATCCTGTGCCCCAAGTTTTAATGCATTGCTTATTGAACCAATCAATGAAAACAGCTTTCTTAGGCCATACTTCAGCAATCAAGCTACCGTTGTATTTTTTACTATTGTACAGACTTGACTTAATAAAGATATTATCTTTGTTTCCTGAAGTGTAATATTTGTTGTTTTCAGTAATGTCTTCTGCAGAAATAGCAGCATCGATAATCAACACCAGTTTTCTACCGGCATTGTGAAGTTTAGCAGCCAAGTCTTAGATTCTATAGAACGCAGTTTTGTTAACTGTAAAATCAACATAGTTATCCATATAGGGAATATCCAAGTAAATGGTTTCTAAGGGAAGGTCAAACTAGTCATATTTGTCGATAACTTCTTCAACAATTGATTAGTTGACGTATTTCCAGGAAGTTTGTTACCATCCTAGAGACCAGAAGGGAGGAAGTTATGGCTTACCAAACTAGCTCTGATATTGAGCTATGATATCTTTGGCTGTTCCATGAATAAAGAAATAGGCCTCAATTTAACCTCCTGTGGTGATGTAAGACAAGATACTTGTACCATCATCTTTGTAAGTTAACACGGGAGATTGAGCATTTGAGTTTCTGAAGTAAATACCAATGTAATCTCCTGGCTTATCAGTCTAGACTAGAATGAATGGATGCACTCCATAGGTTCCCTTTCTTCCTTTTCCATCATCAATAGGAGAGTCAAGGCCAATAGCCCACATAGTCCAAGTTCCTTCATCAAGTTGGAAATCGTGAACTCTCTCTCCAAACCCATAAACTCTTTGAGATGGTAGTTCGAAATCCATTTAGATGAATTTTTCCATGAGAACTAAAGTCTATCCAATAGTAGATATAAAATGCTTCTCTGGATTGATTGGGTCCTTAAATTTAAAGCCAAAGGTGTCATCGGTAGCTAGTTCTAGGCCCAGCATATCAACTCTCATTGAATCATCTCCTTTAGGCTTAACAACAGCTTATTCTGGAATCGAGTATCTCGAGTCAGCTGAGCTATCATATAGATTCAATCTAGCCACTCTCCAGGTAAGCATGTCAAACTTGAATGCAACATTAGAAGCAAACTTGTTGTTAACACCCTTGGGGATTTTTGTTGGATCGACTCCTAACTTAGTGCCATCCTTCAAAGTTGGCATGATTCTGTTTAATGCGAGCATATGAGCATCATGATCGTATTCATATGGGGAAAAAAGTTCTCCAGATATATTGGACTCGTCATCTGTTTTCTTAGAAATCTTGTAGTTGTTATAGCCAGATGGTGCAGGAGGTGTTGGTGGGTTGTCTGGATCACTGTGGTGACTATCACTTTTATGCAAAGTAATGGGAAGTACTATTGCCAAAATAATGGCAATCAAAATTAATGCACCAATGACACCCCACTTTATTCTCTTCTTTCTGAGAATTGCCTTTTCATCAATGATGCTACTGTAGTCTCTACCTTATTTTGTAGCATTGATATCATTTCCTTGATTCGTAACCAACTGTGATTGCGAATCTTCTTCAGTTAATTTCTCCCTCTTCATATACTATTACTCTGAGTAATATTAAATATAATAAGTTTATAATTTTAGGGATCCAGAAACTAATGCAAGAAATATCCTTTAAAATGCTAAAATATTTATAATTTCTTCAATTAAACAGACACATGGGGTTTTGGGGTTTTGGGGAGATCGGAGAGCACACGTCTGAACTCCAGTCACTATGCCATATCTCGTATGCCGTCTTCTGCTTGAAAAAAAAAAAAAAGAATAAAAGCA